CTAACAAGTAAGCTATATCCGGGGATGTTTGGGGGCGTCACCATAAGAGGGGCTTTTGTCAACCCTGTGCTCCCCATTAGCAAGGCTCTGGCTACGCCCCTGCCTACACACAAAATCAGATAAATTTGTCTACGTTGAATGATGGGTAATTAAATGGCCGTTGGGTCAATTCATGCCTAAGGCAAGCAACTTACCGCAGGCTTTTTCTGGGGTGGTGAAGTGAAAGTGAAGATGATTTGGAAAACATATTGTTGCAGGTGTCCAACATGTTTTACACACCAATTATTACCACTGCTTATCCAGAAATATGCAACAAAGCAGTCATACGACCAGTTCGCAGCCAGTCATGCAGGGGACAGCCGGGCCTAGGCAGTGGCCGCCGACTGCGGACGGGGGCGCGGCCCAGGTAAGGAATATATGACAGAATGGCCTTCATTCTGTGGCTTGGTTGTTGAAGGAGATTCTCCAGTTGTATGGCTCATCGCTTGTCACATTTGTTTTGTCACATTCGTCACATCGTTTTTGGCAGTTTCAAGCTTCCGAATTTGTTTCTGCCTAAATGATGCGACAAGCCTCGTCTCCCGAAAAGCAGCCAGCAAAATGAAGGCGCACGAAAAATATGTCGCACCGAGAGCCATCGATTCACATTCAAAATTATCACCAGCCCATGCCCAGGCCGTATTTTGGCATCAGCCCTGTGAAGGAAATGTCTCCTCATTAACTCAAAATGCCTACCGCTCGTGGAATTTCGTGTCCCCAGGAAAGACAATGTTGAAATGTAAGATAATTTTGGAAAACTGGATAGCCTTATTTTCCATATGACATAGATGAGTTGAATAGGCAAGATCGAGCACGAGTGAGAAGCAGGTCTAGATGCATATCTAGCATAGCAGACATGACATTTGATTGAAGAGCGATAACAACCTCCATCTCAGGTTGTCAGGCGCCATGAGTGTCGTCCCCAATGTAGAGTATGGAATGAAGTTTGCAGCCTTCGAGATCTGAATCTGAATTGAACAACGGATGGTGCTTAAATACTGATAGTGAATCTACTCAACGCCACAAAATTGGCATTATAACGTCACTCCTTAGACCTGCCTTTAAGTATCGCTCTAATTGAACAGAATTACATTTGGAATTGGCACGAATCAGACAGATCTTGGTGAATAACGGTTTTCAAATTCCGACGATGAAAACGAAATATGACATATAACAAAGCACTTCGGTGACAACCCAAGACAAGACAAGCAGCCAACCGTCCATCTGGATCATCAAAATCAAATGATGTCTGCCTATAAACAAGACAGGAAAGCTTCACGGGAAATCCTCTCTCGACGTGTAAAAGGCAAAAACACTACCCACAAAATTGGCATTGCCACTTATTATCGTGATAGGAAAGTCTCCAACTTTCTTATTAGAAACAGCACTGACAAACCCAACGACCTAAAATACACCTAAGTAGTGAATCCCTTGAAATGCAATCCTGAAGGCTTCCAGCTCCTTTCCATACGCACACGTTTGGCACAACGACAGCGACACTCTCACTACGCTTGACAATGCACTCACGTGAAGGGGCACCTCTGGAGCACATGACAGTGCACTTACGTGACGGGGCACCTCTGGAGCACATAACAGTGCACTCACGTGACGGGGCACCTCTGGAGCTCATGACAGTGAACTCACGTGACGGGGCACCTCTGGAGCACATGACAGTGCACTCACGTGACGGGGCACCTCTGGAGCTCATGACAGTGCACTCACGTGACGGGGCACCTCTGGAGCACATGACAATGCACTCACGTGACGGGGCACCTCTGGAGCTCATGACAGTGCACTCACGTGACGGGGCACCTCTGGAGCTCATGACAGTGCACTCACGTGATGGGGCACCTCTGGAGCACATGACAGTGAACTCACGTGACGGGGCACCTCTGGAGCTCATGACAGTGCACTCACGTGACGGGGCACCTCTGGAGCTCATGACAGTGCACTCACGTGATGGGGCACCTCTGGAGCTCATGACAGTGCACTCACGTGACGGGGGACCTCTGGAGCACATGACAATGCACTCACGTGACGGGGGACCTCTGGAGCACATGCGACACGAACAGGACAGGACATTGATGAGACAACTGACGGAAAACACTGGTACTCTTCAGGTGTGCATTGACGGAAGACGCCTTCAGCTTTGGGAAGGCAAAGTAAAGAAAGAACTCTTTCCAGCCCCAAACAAACAACTAATTATTGCACAAACCTTGAGTCATTGGGTGCTGGGCGGCAGGTACTGTACATGTAATGGTGGCGCTGTGTCTGCATTGTCTTTATTATAGATGTATTGTAGATATATTCAGGCAACGATAAGAATAGTGGTTTGCTATTCACAAAAATATGTTTTTTATGATAATGATGCACACCTTTCATCCTTAAAAGCTCAAAACTTAATTACTGTTCCATTTGCATTTATCCGACAGTGATATAAGGTTTCGAGACGCTAAAATGAACAGATCGACGAATATATGCGTGATTTTGCACGAACAGTCTTTTACACTGGTACGTTAAATGCCTGGAAACTCGAACGATGCATCAAAAAGTATGTCGATGATCAACGATCGTTTTTAGTCACACACACACACACACACACACACACACACACACACACACACACACACACACACACACACACACACACACACACACACACACACACACACACACACACACACACACACACACACACACACACACACACACACATATGTATATATATATATATATATATATATATATATATATATAGCTTTATACCTTATACATGTATATATATATATATACCTTTATATATATATATATATATATATATATATATACCTTTATATATATATATATATATATATATATATATATAATGACATAAAACTACAGTTTGAAATATCATGTGCGTAACAACAGCAATCACACATGCAAGCCAGGTGGCTCACAGCCTCTTATGAGCGGACCTGATTTGTGAAGTTGACAGAGTGCACATCAAAAGATGCATGATGCAATGCATCATGCATAATGATGCATTGCGTATCAAAAGATGATGGTTGGGCATATTTGAGGGGAGACAAAACACACCGATTTGGTGGATAAGTTTGGCAACAAAAATGCATATTTTCATGTGGCGTTTGGTACCAAAAATGCCTTTGAATGAATTTTTTGTTGACGGCCACGACAAGATATTACAACGTACTATGCTCAATCTGCCATGAAATATTCATGGAAATGCATTTGGTACACAACATCAGCAAGCCTTTCCGTCAAGACCCTTCGCCGTACTCTATAGCACCTTATCGTTTGTTGGCTTCATCCCGATGAAGACGATGACAAAAATCCTATGATATCTAGTCGGTCGCTCGACTTACTGACAGGTCGGCGACAAATCAGTGTATTTTCTATGACGCGGCTGTTTGGCCGATTCGTTGACTTTGCCATCCAACTCTCAGTGTCCCAAACTAGACAGGAAAAAGTACCAAAGAAGACAAATATGGCGGTTCATTTGGTCGCAAGGGTATGATTCATTCATTGTGATGCGACTTGTATAAGACAGGCGGTGACTTCCAACGCACTGCGACTTTGCAAGCGGCCTTTGCATGGCAGCTCCCCTTGCAGTTCTCATCACACCTGCCCAGCTTTAACTTTCGACCACTTCTGACTTCATTGGCGATGCCGCGATTCAGCATCCTGCCCTTCTTCTTCCTTTCCAGGCAGCGTAGAAGCCCAGTTTAGGCCTGTATATATCGATTGTTGGGGCGCGGCAAAAGGCGCCCACAAGAAAGCACATGGGGCAGGATTGGAACATGCATGAGGCATGGTGGAGAGTGTGACGATGGTTGAGGTGGGGCTCGAGGTGCACACGTGGTTCTGATAAGGGGACATAGCTATCTCAATGAGGTCCTCGTATCGGACGCATCCCCAAGTTCCGCCTGTCACCGGGCCGACTTCTGTCCTGTAATCAGCTGTCCAAGCTGTCAATGTTCTCCGTAATCTTTTCGCGGTCGAGGAAAACAAATCCAACTGCAGATCTACATTAAATGTGAGATCCTGGCAAGTCCCGAAGGTGGAAGAGGTCTATTTTTGTGATTGGACCATCCCATAGTCTAAGGCCGATATACCTTCACTCTTAGTAGTAGCAGTGGTCCTGAGATTAGCTGAAACTTTAATGATATTGTGAAAATGAGCGTTTCGGTTGTGTGCATGACATTGACATTTACGGGGACGAACGGACTTTCTGAGATCCTCCGATTTCTAATGGCGCTACGGAACATTTCCTTCATAGCCATTTTATGTCAGATGGTGTCGCGTTACGTTGCTGGCGGCAGTTTTGCCAGCATAAATTTGGTCCATGACAAAAACACACTTTCCCACCCCTGCATAGATCTTTTCATCTTTGGCCCTTCTTTTATCCTTGCCGGCAGCAACGATCCCATTGTTTCAGTTTCCCCGTCGTTCTCCTCCCTCCAATCGCCAGTTTGGCACCCAGATCATCAGCTAGCTCACCAGCATGAAATCTGAGTAAAACCCAGATTTGCACTTCCCAATGTTTCTTGGTAGCAAAAATGTTGTTGCTTGAGGATAGTTGCGATCATGCACGATGCAGATGATGCAGCTGTAGTTCATGTATGATACAAATACAAATTGATGGAAGAACGGATACATGACTTCCGTAACAAGAAATTGACAGTATGACAGCGCTGTTGTGACCCGTTCGGGTACAGAGTGATAACGAGTCATACACGTCCACAAAGGCATCATTCGTGTGCGGTCGTGTTATCACACCCCCCAGAGACAGAGTCTGCCTGGTCGGTGCGTCAGCCGGCACCGTCCACCACCTCACGTGCGGAGGGCCCGGCCGGCTTGGTCCTCCAAGAGAGCGAGCCGGGCCTGCGCGCTGACGTCGTGGTTGGACCGGCCGCCCGGACGGCGCAGAGCGTGGGCACGCGCCGTCCGGGTCGGTCGGCATGGCAGCCGTCCGCGTCAGGCCTTCGGCACGGGCTCGGCTCTGGACGCGACTGTGGCTCGGGGCGCTGGCAGGCGCCGCTTCGGCCGCGCCGGACCTGGTGCGGATAGGTGAGCGCCTGCACCAGACCTGGTGGGGAGAGGTGAGCGGCCGCACCGGACCTGGTGCGGATAGGTGAGCGGCCGCACCGGACCTGGTTCAGATGGGTGAGCGGCAACGATGGACATGATTCAGATGGGTGAGCGCCTGCACCGGACCTGGTGCGGATAGGTGAGCAGCCGCTGTTCTAGCAGACTGAACGCGGTGCGTGGCGAGACGACCTGGGCAGCAGCAGCACTTAATGTCCGTAACTAAAATCAAGGCTTTGCGTAACCCTCATCATTGCCAAAAGCATGCTGCTACGAACCTATGTGGTGGGGTAGGGATAACACTTTTTAAAACTGGTTGGTGGGAAATGGCTGAGCCGATAAGGTTGACCTAACCTAATCCCCAAACCTGCTTTTTGTGTGATGAGGGCGCTGGCGCCATCTGCTCAAAATCACATGACAAACCTATGGGGATATCTGTCAGCCGGTCACCAGGCTCAGGTCGGTATAAACAGCACTTTATGCCAGTAAGGGTCAGTGACATCGCAACTTGTGAAAGGTTATGGTGGGAATGCGTCTCTTTCCCTGCAACGCGGTAGACGAGCACAGTTTTCGACCTCGCAGAAGTTGGGAGGACCAGTTTATTCTCGTTTCTCGGTAGCGGAGCCCATGTTTCGGTCTCACACTACCGGTTTACGAATGATATCATATGAAGCTGACGGTTGTCTTCACCCCGTACTCCTGACCAGGCGGTGCACCTGCGGGACATTCTTTACGGTGTTTTACTTCCTTACCCGTGGTCTGCCGATGAAGGCGTAAATCACCCATCGTTGCATGTCGCCCGGGCCAGGCCCCTTGTCTTCCAGAGAAGCTGCATAAATTGATAGACGTCTCAGCACCCCCGTACGATGCTCCCGCAGCCCATCGTGGAAACCTTTAAAGTTCAGCCCATTGGCGCCCGACCTCCATCGGACTGCGAGCTAATAAGGCCTGCCTATACGTTCGCCGCGGCCAGCAGCCGCCGTAAAATTCCTGCCGCTCTCCGCTGCGGGCTCGCGGCCAATTCTCTCTCGGGGGTGTGGGTGGGAGAGGGAGAGGAGTGATGCACGATATGTTTGCCGCAAAAGGCGGCTTAGTGACCCAAGTCCGACTCCCGCGAATTAAATTTGTGTCAGACTGACTGGAAGAAGCCAAAAATGTCAGTTTTCGTGGCCGTACTCGCATAATGTGATACAGGATCCGTACAACGCTTCCAGTCGGATAATGAACAAATATTTTTTCGCCGTAAAACCTGGGTGATGTGCCATAAAAGGTTCTTTCACATGGATCCGTTCTGTTGGTTGTCTAAGACACTTAACGGGCAACACACTGCAATCTTAATTTACATATTTAAACCCGTACAGTTTGAAATATTTTGGAATTGCTTATAACAAGTAACACACATTTTAATTATCTGAGTATATTTCGTGGCTTCTAACCCACATTTTAAACATCTGAGTACATACCGTGACTAGTAAGACACTTTTCAACATCATGGTACATATCTTGGTTAGTAAAGCACGTTGTGAGCGTTTGGGTACATGTCATCGCTAGTGAAGCACATTTCGCACATCTGAGAACATACTGTGACTAGTAAAGCACATCTCGAGCACTTGTGTACATATCATGACAATTGAGGTAAAAGTTGAGCATCTGAGCACATCGCATGGCTCGAAAAGCATATTTTGAGCATTTAAGAGCATGCCATGGCTAGTAAGGCACATTCTGTAAATATGAGTGCATCTTACAGCTAGTAAAGCATATCTTGGACATCTGAGCATACCTCATGATTAGTAAGACACATATGGAACATCTGAATACACATGATTGGCTAGTAAAGCACACTTTCATTGTGACGCCATCGTCGGTGTTATATTTCCGAGAGAATACACCCGTGAGTGCAAAAGTCTGTTCGGTCTGTGCTGACAACTTAAATACGCACGGTGATGGCCATTTCGGCTACGGCACAAGATGAATGCCGTAAGGGATCATGTATACTGACCATATGTGGTCAGGAACGTTTACAGCCGTCATTTTAGTCAGATATCTGTCATTCCTATCGTACACCAACCATGTGCAAAAATGTGCCTTCCATATGTCACTTTGTCATTTTTGTGTAGGTGTTATTTGACAGCATAAAAACGAGACAACCTGACTTGCAAAAAACATGATTATTACAAACAAACCATAAAGTCAAAAGCAGATGAATGAAAGAGGCGGATAGAAATCAAGAAACTGGAGCGCTGCATAGCACGGAGAGGATACCCTGGAGACACGCCATCAGAGGCGGAGGGGGGGGGGGACAAGGAGCATCTAGCGTGCTAGGTGTAACCATACATGCAAAAGTCGGTGGAGATGGTTTCAAGCCTTGAAATCGAAGGAAATGTGTCATTTTTTGCATATTGCTAACTTATTGCACGCGTTCGCCAATCCAGTTATTTATGCATGCATCCTAGGCTGTCCCACGGGTCTAATATGGGGTTGGGATTATAAAAAAACATTTCTTTGGCATATGTTCCCCGCAGACCTCATATCTCAGCATACGGATCCAAGACGCCAGTTGACAAGGTGCTTTAAGTCAACACAGGCCATCATTGCAAGATTACGAATATATTTGCGAGTTGCTGGTTCGTCTTTGTACCACCCACGTAGAATGCATTAATTATTTTCCTATTTTCTTTCTTACCTTGTTTGACCTTTCTGTGTGGCCAAAATCCATCCAAATGAGAACACAAGTGTGCGATTTCACAGCAATGGTGACCTGTAATATTTTGGTCAACGTTCAACCATCTGAATATGTAGCACTTGACTTTGGTCTATGGAAGCTGTTTGCCACCCTCTCCCAGCATTGAAACGCAGTGACCTAACGTAATTTCTTAACTTGAATCTGACTGGACTAGCCAGTTGTAAAGCCTAGCCATCTATTGCGACTGGACATGCATATCTTTTTGGTATTGAAACTACTTTTTGAAAAATGACAAGTCCTTTGAGGCTCCTTAGTCCTCGTTTGAAAAGCTGGCTGTTATCAGGACGTGCGGAAGTAACTTAACCCTCATTGCAATACAGCTGCGAAGGAAGAGATTGAACGTCTTTGTCATTCTGCTCGATGAATGGTTCTGTATCAAATATGGGGATGTTTTAAAAACACGAGGCTGGCAAACACCATAGCTGAAAGCATGCTGAATCGTGCACAGTTACCCTGAAAAGCAAAGAAGGTGCAGATGTTTTCCTGATCAGTAAAACAGGTGCAGAAATGCTCGTGATCAGTGAAAAATCGCGCAGTTTAGAGGCATGCTTTTAATAAAAGGTCAAAGTGTGATAGGCAAAAATACAGTAACTGTACAGAAGACGCGTCCATCCATATATGTGCACAAATAAAAGTGATGCGGAAAATCAACGGCACAGCTCCTTTTGAATTTTTTTTCGCCCCTGTAGATATAAGCCATTTTTGTTCAATACATGATGTGCAAAAGAGAGCTTGCTTCAGCGTGATTATCCTATTTGTGCCCATTTTTGACCAATAGGAAAAACAACCAGTGCAAGCAAATCCCACATTCCAACACGGTGAAAATGCGATGTCGCGTTTGTTGCAATAGATAGCAGTGGAGTGTTCTTGGTGTTTCAGTGGTGTCCAGATAGAAAGTTTGGTGTTTTGTATATGAACCACATATATTTAAGAACATCGAGAGGATCTGAATCCAATCAAGGTGAACAGACATCGAACACTAAGTGTGTCGTTAGCTGACCGCTTAGCGAAAGTGTACCAACTGTGGGGCATGTCTCAGAAAGCACGTTCTGGTGGCACCTCAGGTCCAGTTATATCCGATAAAAGTACTGGGCAGTGCCAGTAAAGCACCAACAAGGCACAAGGACCAAATTCATTTTTGCTATTTCTGAATAAAAGTTACGCGGTCAGCGCCTTGTAAGAAGTAGACTTCTTCCTCTCTTGGTACACCAATAATACAGCCTTAGTTCGCAACAGCTCATGACGAAGGAATCTGCTGAGAGCCGCCGTCATCTGGTACCGACTAGACGTACTTCTTTTGGGCTCTTTTAGTCCGTCTTTTACGGGTCTGCCGGCTTTAAAGTGGCACCTTTATTAGTAGGAATGATATCAAGGGAAATGCACACTTATTATTGATGCGGCGGGTGGCATAAGTCATTGACCGAGAAGTGTATTGGCGTAAGCTCGGGCCGGCGCGTCGCTGGACGATGTGACATGTCTGCTTTACAAAGCCAAAGTGTGTTTCGTTGATACCCGAAGTGTTAACGCCACAGGATGAATAGAGAAAGTTAAATCGAGAATTTCGAGAAAGCTGACATTCCGATGAAATCGGACGCGTCTGATCTAGCAATGCATGGAAAGTATAAAAATGTGGCATGATACCTTCATTGTACCGAACTGAGGCAACCTAGGCACCGGCAAACAAGTATTTCTTGTTAGACATCGAATGCGAATGTCACTGTTTTTCTGTTACTTTTTTTAGTTCAACTACCCTCGTAATACTGATGGGTAGGACCTAAAACCCGGATACTCCAGATAGCGTAGAAATACTGTCTCCTACCAAGACTTCGGCGAGACGGCGAATCTAGTAATCCCTTCCCTGGTGTCATAGTTTTTCGTTTAGCATTACACTTCAACACAGGAAAGCAGAGTATGAACCAATTCGGAATGTGCTTTTCTGACAATAAATGGTGTCTTGTATAACCGTTGAGTGTTAATCCTTTTTCCGCCTACTCATTCTGGATGCTATAAAACCAAGCGCGAATTAACATATATGGCCGCAATCTGCAACGGCGTTTTGCTAATTGATATGCGGCAGAGGCTGGCGAGCATTGGCTGCCCATGATAAGTAAAGGTCCCGCTCTTTTGCCAGGGGATGTATATTCCTTTGGTGTGGATCTTTTGAGTGGGGAACAGGGCTGCCAGCCAAGAATTCGGACTACTCGGACTGATTTCCCCGCCGAGCTGCCGTTTTGGATGA